TAAGCCTGCAGCTCACAACAAATGTGGAAGGTTATTGTGTGTCATATTTAACAAACCGTTTACTGCTAATTTGATGTAATTTTGCTCACATGGATAATTGAATATTAATCAGATGATGTCATTACGCTGCTGTGCCGTCAGCCAATCGTTGCATTGCTGATCATGATTTCGAGGATCGATAGATATGTCCTTCACAACACACGCAGCGATCTCAGATCAGTTTATCCAGACATTCTAATCTGATTCGCGAACTTGTTTGAAGAACCAAATTAGCGAGAGATCAGTTATCAAGATTAAAAGATCCAGGATCTGCCAAATCATCTTAGATCATTTAAGCGAGGTACGAAGAACGGACCCGTGGTCCATCCACAGAGTTTGTAATGTAGTCAAATGTTTACAAATACAAGCGAACTGCTGTTTAGAGGTCATTTCTGGTTAATGATGTGAGAATTTACCGCTATTTTTAAATGGATGTCTGAAAGTTTTTCTCCTGAAAAATTCCATAAAGTCCTGTGTGAACAGTGCTTTTTTTAATTTACCGGTAAAGTCGTTCTGGAATTTTTTCAGATATTTACCGGCATCACTGTGAAAGGGTCTAATAATTTTTCAAAACATTTTCTTCTGTGTTCAACAGAAGAAAGGCACTCATAAAGATGTGTGTCAAGTGAAGAGAAAGTAAATGATGACAGAATGTTCCGTTTTGGGGCAAACTATTCTGTTAATATAGCATAAATGATTAAATATGCAGAAGAAATCCTTTATTTACACAATTTTATAAGATACTGTATCCGTATTTTTTATTCCCACTTGTCAGTGATACAGTGCCATATTGTGCACTTCTGTGTCTTTTTTGTTGTTTTTACTACTGTTGAAGGAATGTCACTACACAAGCAGAACTTGAATAGTGTCCGATCTTTGCTTTCGTAGATCACCTTTATCATGTAAAGTACACTGTAACAATATCTGGAAATGATCAGTTTTCCGCATGTTTTGGTTAATGGGTTTTTTTTCTTTCATTTTTCTATGCTTTTGAATGGCATTGTGTTACCGTGATCTTTCCTCCAACAAACATTTGATGCTGAAAAGATGACTTTTTATTAACAGTTTAAGGTGATATATTGTGTGAGTTTGTGCTGTAATTGCAGAACTAAACCTAGTAATGCACGGTCCTTACTTTTTCTGTTGTTTTACAGATTTTATTCTCTACATTTTCATTCTTTTATTCTTTTTTTAAAGCTTAGTCTCTATTTCAGAAGTTGCCACAGGAGAATGAACATTCAACCATTTCAGCATATGTTTTATGCAGCAGATACCCTTTCAGCCGCAATTAAGTTTATTCAACAATTTAGTTTATTCAATTCACCTATAGCGCATGTGTTTGGATTGTGGGGGAAATCGGAGCACCTGGAGGAAACCCACATCAACAAACTCCACATAAAACTGCCAACTGTCCCAGCAGGGACTGGAACCAGCAACCTTCTTTTTAACCACTGAGCCACCGAGCCACCCCTTCCCTACATATTGTAGAACATTATTCATTCATTTATTTTCTTGTCGGCTTAGTTTCTTTATTAATCCGGGGTCGCCACAGCAGAATGAACCGCCAACTTATCCAGTAAGTGGCCCTTCCAGCCACAACCCATCTCTGGGAAACATCCACACACACCTTCACACACACACTCATACACTACGGACAATTTAGCCTACCCAGTTCACCTGTACAGCATGTCTTTGGACTGTGGGGGAAACCGGAGCACCCGGAGGAAATCCACGCAAACGCAGGGAAAACATGCAAACTCCACACAGAAACGCCATCTGAGCCGAGGCTCGAACCAGCGACCCAGCGACCTTCTTCCTATGAGGCGACAGCACTACCTACTGCGGCACTGCTTCATCCTATTGTATATTGTTTACAGGGAGGAAAATAACTGTGCATATATACAGTTGAAATCAGACTTATTAGCCCTCCTGATTTATTAGCAACCCCTTTCCCCCAATTTCTGTTTAATGGAAAGAAAAAAAAAATTTCCAACACATTTAAACATAATAGTTTTAATAAATAATTTCTAATAACTGATTTATTTGTTCTTTGCTTTGATGACAGCGCATATCTTACTAAAGATTTTTCAAAATACAAGCAACAATTAAAGTGCAATTCAAAGGCTTAATTAGGGTAATTAGGCAAGTCGTTGCATTACAGTAGGTTATTCTGCAGACAATCAAATATGTATTGCCTAAAGGGGCTAATAATATTGACCTAAAAATAGGTTTCAAAATAGTAAAACCTGCTTTTATTCTAGCCAAAATAAAACAAATAAGACTTTCTCCAGAAGAAAAAATATTCTGGGAAATACTGTAAAAAATTAATTTAATTTAACTAATTAAACATAATTTAGGAAATATTTATTTAAAAAAATAATTTACAGGAGGGTGAATAATTTTTCCTTTAACTTATAATCGTTTTGAATAATCGTGATTACAATTATGAGTAAAATAATTGTTATTTTTCGTGATAATCGTGATCATGATTTTTCCCATAATCAAGCAGCCGTACGACTAATTCAAATGGGGCATCAGCGTCAATGCTTCCCATTCACTTTGAATATGTGACATCGCCGAACTGAACTGTGGATTCGTTGGCGCCCTTTTAGCAACGTTGCCCACTGTTAGATATTTTTTAACTTTTTAAGTCCCAACAGAAGCATCAGCCAATCAGATCGCTTTATGCAAATACCTCAGCTCAGACAGTAGCCGACTGCAGACTAATTTCATTGGCTGATGCGGCTATGACAATCACATCAGCCTCAACTTCAGACACGACCTTGGTCAAGTGTTGACGCTGATGACCTGTGTGTATGCACAATAACCACCAATTCACAAAGGGCTTCAGCGTCAACGCTTGACAGAAGGCGTGTCTGAAGTTGAGGCTGACACGATCATCATAGCAGCATCAGTCAATGAAATTAATCAGTTACTGTCTGAGCTGGTGTACTTTCACACAGCAATCTGACTGGCTGACGCTTCCATCGGCAGTTGAGAAAGTCTTAACTACTGCAGTGAGCAACGCCACTGAAACAACGCTGAAGGATCCACAATGCAGTTCGGCAACACCTGATGTCACCCACTCAAAGTGAATGGGAAGTGCTGACGCCCCGTGTGAATGGGATGTAATGCCTGATTCACACGGGGCTTCAGTGTCAATGCTTAACCGAGGATGCGATCGTCATAGCAGCATCAATTGAAATTACTCCAAAGTTGGCTTTGCTCTTTAAGCTGGGGTATTCGCACAAAGCGATCTGATTGGCTAACGCTTATATTAGTGCTTAAAAAGTTCCAACTTCTACAGGCGAAAACGTCCAAAATTAAGTTCATATTTATTCTGAGAAATGTTGAATGTTTTATGAGCTTAGATAAGCAAAAGATGTATTTGACATAAAAAGTCTCTCCTCTTTACTGTATGCAGAACTCCAAATAGGTCCTTTTAAAGCAGGTTGACATCATGCACACGTTTAAGCTAGTTAATTTACAGCATATTGAAATTAATAAAATGAAACAAGATGAAACAATATACTGATAAAATAAATTTTGCATTTTAGTTAACACATTTTCATTTATTTACGTTTATGACTGTCCCCTTGGCCCCTCCCCAACCCAATCATTTCTTGTTCGGCTGTATCTGAAATCGCCCCCTTTACCCCTAAACAGTGCATAATTATATAGTGGACATTCTGAAGTGTACTTATTCAATTCCACAATGCACCTCAATAATGGGATAAAAATCAATGTAAACTCAATGGCTTGAGAATACCCACAATGCACTGTGAAAATATACACACTGAATAGATTCCCGAGTCTGACAGCAGCAGAATCCATTTGGTGTAGTTTCTAAACAATGTATTATTTAATTGTTAAATTAATGTTTCTACATTTTTTACTTTGAACACAAAGTAACCACAAACACTGTCAACACTTTTATCAGCATAAAATGGCTTCCATTCTGGTGCAGGCTAAACTTGTTCTATCCACTTGATCAGGGGCGCTGAAGTCTGCCAGAACAGTAAGTCATTATTATTTTTTTTTACTTGAAATAGATAGTCATAAATGTGAGCTCTGTTATCTCTGTATAAGCACCTGCGTGTTGCTGAAACAAAGTAACACTTGTGCTTTCTAGAGAAGGACTCTTGTTTACAGTACAGCTCTACATTCTGCACTTTGTTGATGAATTGTTAGGCCAACTATTCTGATTTTCCAGTTTTCTGTTCTTGGCAGAACTTTGCATTCCAACAGGAAACAACAAGATAATCTTACATTTCGGTAAACGTGAGATCATTGTTTTGCAACTCTTGTTACCTCCAATGACTATATATATATATATATATGAAGTCAAAATTATTCACCCTCCTGTGAGTTTTTTCTTTTTCCAAGTATTTCTCAAATTAAATTTAACAAAGCAAAAACTTTTTCTCAGTATTTCCAATATTTTTATTTCTGCTAGAGAAAGTCGTATTTCTTTTATTTGGGCTAGAAAAAAACCTTTTTAGAATAACTTGCCTAATTACCCTAACCTGCCTAGTTAACCTAATTAACCTACTAAAGCCTTTAAATGTTACTTTAAGCTGAATACTATAGTATCTTGAAAAATATCTAGTCAAATATTTTTTATTGTTATCATGACAAAGAGAAAATAAATCAGCTATTAATAATGAGTTTTTAAAACTATTATATTTTTAAATGTTCTCCGTTAAACAGAAGGTGAGAAAATTTCAATTTAACAGGAGGGCTAATAAGACCTCAACTGTATGTATATTTGGTATTTATGATTGACTAAATAGTGCTGTAAAATTGTTTAATAGTGTAAAGGCCTCTACAGGTTAACAGTACACATTATTATAATAAATCTAAAAGTTATTTGATGTTTGAAGTTCAAGAGCTTCGACTTAAAGTTGTGTAATAACTAGTGTTGGTGATCCATTGAAGATAAAATATTTTGTCCGATTCTAGAAAATGTGTCCTCATAACAGTGCTGCAGGGGCGTACAGTATATAAACCAAACATGCTTCCTGCAACACCACTGTAGATGAGCCTGTTGGATGAAGCTGTCAACTGTAAGTAAAACACTATCATTACTTGTGCTTGTGTAATACGCTGACAGACAGTAAAACAGTTACATAGCATTAGATGAGTGAATGTGTGAGTGCTAAAACTTAAAAAAGAAGACTTTTTTTCTTCTTTTTTAAATATTTTTATTATGATGTTTAACAGAGAAAGGAAATGCTCACAGTATGATAATATTTTTTCTTCTGGAGAAAGTCTTCTGTGTTTTATTTCGGCTAGAATAAAAGCAGTTTTAAATTTTTTAAGTAACATTTTAGGGACAATATTATTAGCCCCTTTAAGCTATATTTTTTTTCTTGATAATCCGCAGAACAAACCATCATTATACAATAACTTGCCTAATTACCCTAACCTGCCTAGTTAACCTAATTAACCTAGTTAAGCCTTTAAATCTCACTTTAAGCTGTATAGAAGTGTCCTGAAAAATATCTAGTAAAATATTATTTACTGCTTTATTTTTTCCAGAGTTAAAGAGTTTTTAAAGAGTTATTTGTTATATTTTTTTATTTGAAAAAGGAATATTTATGATACTTATATTTTATATTTTTACTTATATTTTACTTTTATTGAATTGCTGTAATTTATCTTTGACATGATGACAGTAAATAATATTTTACTTGATATAAATATTTTAAATAATAAAATAACATCAAAAGGGGGCTAATAAATCTGACTTCAACTGTGTATATATATATATATATATATATATATATATATATATATATATATATATATATATATATAGTTGAAATCAGAGTTTTTTGCCCCGTTTATTTTTTCCCCAATTTCAGTTTTTTTCAGCACATTTCTAAACATAATAGATTTAATAACTCATTTCTAATAACTGATTTATTTTAGCTTTGCTATGATGACAGTAAATAATATTTTACTTGATATTTTTCAAGACACTTGTAAACAGTTTAAAGTGACATTTAAAGGTTTAACTAGGTTAATTAGGTTAACTAGACAGATTACGGTATTAGGCAAGTTATTGTGTAATGATACATTTGTCATGCGTAATGATGGTTTGTCCTGTAGACTATCTAAAAAAAAATAAATAAATAAATAAATTAAAAAAAAATATATATATATATATATATATATATTTTTTTTTTTTTTTTTTTTTTTTTTTTTTTTTTAGATTTTTTTAGATAGTCTACAGGACAAACCATCATTACACAATAACGATGGGCTAATAATTCTGACTTCAACTGTGTAAAATTTGGTTTCAGCTAACTTTCTAAAATTGAATTGTGACAAAACTGAAGCTCTACTCATTGGGACTAAAAGTGTCTTAAATAAATCTAATAATTAATATAATATAAAACAATTAAGTTCTCTCCTTCTTTATAGCAGAAGGACTTCTACGTGTGCTGTTATCTCTGACTTCAACATCATGAAGTTAATTCTGGTTTTACAGCATCTGCTGCTGTTCATACCAGTCCTGCCACTGAGTATGTATCTTTTAATCATCTGTCTGATTGTGTCTTAATGTGCTGAAGACAATACAATTAACTCATTTCTAAATGTAATGCCATTTGTTTTTTTCTTAAATAGCCAGGGCACAAACGACTACTGAAACAACATTGACAGGTAAACCCTATTAAAAAAAAATTCTCACCCTTTACTCGTTCCAAACCTTTATGGGTTTCTTTATTCTGTTGAACACAAAAGATATTTAAAAAAAAGTTCAAACCTGTAACTATTGACCTCTAGATTTGTTTTTCTTCCCATGGTTACAGATTTTCAGCCTTCTTCACAACAAATTTGTGTTTAACAGAATAAATAAAAACAATACGTGTTTGGAATGACTTGAGGAAGAGTAAATGGTGACAGAATTGTCTTTTTTTATAGGCGGTTTGACTGTTATACTACTTTCTTTTAGTTCCTTCCTGATGTGTGCAGTTCAGTGGTGTTTTTGTCACACATCATTACTGGATTATCTGGTTTTTCCTGATGAAAAATCTGTGTGTTTATATGGGAAAACATGGGTCATCTCTGAAAGTATTTAGGTGTTTTGTTGTTTGTTTGTTTGTTTGTTTGTTTGTTTGTTTGTTTTTGTGGAGCATTGCAATATTTATTGGTATAAATTATGTATTTATATGTTTCATTCTTTGATAAAAAAATGGTTTTCGTAATTATTTGTTTACTGGCTCGATATGGTAACACTTTACAATAAGGTTGTACTAGTTAATGTAAGTTTAATGCATTAATTAACAGTGAACAGTTTAACAGTTTATATAAAGATATTTAGTATTGCTGAATAAATGCCGTTCATTGTTAGGTTGTGTTATGTAATCCATGATCAAATCTTCTAATTAGGCTGTTAATGTAAATGCATTAGGATGTACAGTGCATCTGGAAAGTATTCACAGCACTTCACTTTTTTTCACTTTTTTTTATGTTACAGCCTTATTCCAAAATGGATGAAATTCATTTATTTTTCTTCAACATTGTACACACAATACCCCATAATGACAATGTGAAAATAGAGTTTTTGAAATTGTTGCAAATTTATTAAAAAAAAAAAAATTCTCATGTACATCAGTGTTCACAGCCTTTGTCGTGAAGCTCTAAATTGAGTTCAGGTGCATTCTGTTTCCACTGATCATTCTTGAGACGTTTCAGCAGCTTAATCGGAGTTCACCTGTGGTCCATTCAGCTGATTGGACATGATTTGAAAAGGCATACACCTGTCTATATAAGGTCCCAGGGTTGACAGTGCATGTCAAAGCACAAACCAAGCATGAAGACAAAGGAATTGTCTGTAGACCTCCGAGACAGGATCGTCTTGAGGCACAAGTCTGAGGAAGGTTACAGAAAAAATTCTGCTGCTCTGTAAGTTCCAATGAGCACAGCAGCCTTCATCATCCGTAAGTAGAAGATGTTTGGAACCACCAGGACTCTTCCTAGAGCTGGCCGGCTATCTAAGCTGAGGGATCAGGGGAGAAGGGCCTTAGTCAGGGAGGTGATCAATAACCCGATGGTCCACTCAGTCTGAGCTCCAGCGTTCTTCTGTGGAGAGGAGAACCTTACAGAAGGACAACCAGTAGAGTGGCCAGACAGAAGCCACTCCCCGCCTGGAATTTGCCAAAAGGCATCTGAAGGACTCTCAGACCATAAGAAACACAATTCTCTGGTCTAATGAGACTAAAAATCAACTCTTTGGAGTGAATGCCAGGCGCTACAATTGGAGAAAATCAGGCACCGCATATCACCTGGCTAATACTATTCCTAAAGTGGAGATGTTTTTTTAGCAGCAGGAACTGAAAGACTAGTCAGGATAGAGGAAAGATGAATGCAGCAATGTACAGAGACATCCTGAATGAAAACCTGCTTCAGAGTGCTCTTGACCTCAAACTGGGGTGACGGTCCATCTTCCAGCAGGACAATGACCCAAAGCACACACCAAAATATCAAAGAAGTGGCTTCACAACAACTCAGTGAATGTCCTTGAGTGGCCCAGCCAAAGCCCAGACCTAAATCCTATTGAAAATCTCTGGAGAGATCTGAAAATGGCTGAACATTGTCGCTTCCCATCCAACCTGATAGAGCTTGAGAGATACTGCAAAGAGAAACGGGCAGAAAAACCCAAAGACTGGTGTGCCAAGCTTGTGGCATCATATTCAAAAAGACTTGAGGTTGTAATTGCTGCCAAAGCTGCATCAATAAAGTATTGAGCAAAGGCTGTGAATACTGTTGTACATGTGATTTTTCAGCTTTTTATTTTTAACAAATTTGCAACAATTTCAAACAATCTGTGTTCACATTGTCATTAAGGGGTATAGTGTGTAGAGTTTTAAGGAAATAAATGAATTTAGTCCATTTTGGATTGAGGCTTTAACAAAGAAATATACTACATAATAGTCGTTGTTCACCATTAGTTTGTGTTGACTCATTTATTAATTAATACATTAGTCAGTTATTAAAATTACCACAGATTAAGTGATGCATAACAGATGTGTTTTTCACTGTTCATTCATGTTAACTACAGTAATACAAGTTTATAGTAAAGTGTTACCCATAATATCCACCAATAGCAAACCACAGCCATGCTGTCTATTTCCAATGGACAAAACTAAGCCCGCCCCTTTACAGTAGTTGCTTCACATCATCACATCTGCTGTTTAATGGTGACTCATTTGTTCCAATTTACTCTTAAAGGGAGGTGTTTTATAATGTCCTGCCCCAACTTTCTTTTTCGATGAAAAATATGTGTTGATCAAATGAGTTTGTGTAATATCTAATAACATTTGTCTTCATGTTTTCAGAAACTACCACAGCAGAATCAGCAGGTATTCATTTAGAATGTTTGATTTTTTACACCCAAGACATATGATAATTAACATTGTGAGTGTTTAGCTGCTGTTTTCAGATACAGCAATCAATCCCATTGCTTTCTGTAGAAAACCTTGATAATTAATTGACTGACATGAAGGATGTAAAGCCACCAATGATGACAACTTTGTAGATGTTTTTTTTATGTCAAGGCTTATTTCACCCGGTCATTTCAGGTGAAAATTGTAAACACAGTTTAACGAATTATTGAATAATGTTTTTATTGTGTTTGTTTTTCAGCAACCAGCACAGATCCATCATCAGGTAGTAAACACAATCAAATACAAATTTTTTAGATGTTCTTGTTCCCTGCTCTGGACTCTCTCATGCCCTATTCTTATGCCCTATTCTTATGACCTAATGTTACAATATTAAAACTATTATTTATTTATTTTAATTATTATGTCAAGGTTTGCTTGTTTCTGCTGAAAGTTAACTAAAGAGTACTGCAATCTGTAGTAAGATTTATGATTCATTTATTGTTGTTTTAATTGTGTTTATTATTTCAGAAACCACCGCATTCACAAGCACCACAGTTCCACCAGGTAATGATGTTTTAGACCAGTGTTTCTAAACTGGTGGGTCTCGACCAAAAAGTGGGTCGCGGGAACATTTTCAGTGGATCGCGAAGTGTGTGATCAAAAACAACAACAAAAGTTTAATATTTAACTTATTTTGCTTATATCGGACTTTTATTTTGAAATGCGTGTGCGACAACCGTAACATTAGGGTATATGCCGAAGCATGCCAATGGGACTTTTAATTTGCCAGTAACCTGGGTTAAGCGCTTTCGGCGAACTGTATGCAATGCAAAAACCGGCGCGTTTAAGATTAAGTTTTCTTTAAAAATCAGCGATCTCCACTGGCTGAGGGATATCCGATATAAAGTGGGTCTCAGATTGTACAAGAAGCACTGCTGTAAATTACATTCCCTCTGCCATGTCTTTATAAAATGAGCATTTATTTTACCCCAGTATATTCAATGGAGGTTCTGCGCTAGCCTGCCGATTCTGACGGGCGCGTGCCAGTAAACGGCTTTTTGTCTCGTTTTATGCTAGAGCAACTAAATGAATGCCAAAGTTTATTTAACTGAATGTATTTTAATGACATTACAACATCAATGCTGTATAAGGAACCATATAAAATGGAAAAAAGTTCACAATAACAGCTCACCGGAATTTTATCAGTATGAGAAAAACATTTGCTTGGCATATACCCTTTTGACATGTGAAATTCCAGCGCAAGTCCGACCACGAATATGTAAAGTGTGGATTAACATATTTTAAAGACAAAAAAGGCTTAAAACCTCAGTGTGTTATATGTAGTGAGGTGCTTTCACAAGAGAGGATGAAACCTAAATTAAAACGGCATTTAGAAACCAAACATCCCAGTTGCAAGGGAAAACCTGTGGACTATTTTCTAAGACGACTTTAATAGCTGAGGGCATCACAAAAGTGCCGGACATATTCATGTTCAAAACAAGTACATCTTACTGTGCTCACCGTGTAGCAAAGGCCAAGAAAGCCCACACAAAAGCAGAACAGCAAATAACTGGTGATTATTATAAAATGGTTATGATTCATTTAATAATTTTACTTCAGTTTGCTGGTTTCTTTTCAGTTCAACCAGATCAATGTTAATGTTTTATAAACAGTTCAGTTTAGTTCATGGTAACTGAACTTTTCTTTACTCTAACCACTGTTTACAGTATTTGACATTTTTACCCTGTAATATTTCTATAATTTGATACATTTTGTTAAATGACAGCAGTAAAATATTGTTTATTTGTAAGTCTTAGTGATTTTCTTATGATTTATCTGTCACTAGTTGTGTATGTTAACAATTAAATACAAATTAATTATAATTCCTAAAATTATATTATAATTCCTAAAAATTTGTATCGCGGCTTGATGACCATGTGAAAATGTGAGTCCCATGGCCAAACCAGTTGAGAACCCCTGTTTTAGATAACTCCTGCAAAATGTGTTTGTAATTCACAGAAATGTTTCATCACTTATTGTTTGCTCTTTAACAGTTGTTGCGATGACTTCTGCAGAGCCATGGACAGGTATTTACTGACTTTTACATTAATGCTGCATTCATATACGAATTGGCATACTATTCTATTTTTGACTTTGCATTTCTTGTGTTTTATTCTCTCTGCAGCTCCAGCAATATTCTATCCATTCGGCTCGGCTGTAGGAGACACTGAATATTCTGAAACTGGTTCTGAAAACCACGTTTCTGTTGCTCTTTCCACCCCATTTACATTCTTTGGCCACACATACAACAGCTTATACGTAAGAATTCAGTTCAATTCTCAGTCAAAGTCTGAATGCAAATGCAGTGATAAGCCAGATTGTGATTATTGCTTGATGTAAATTGATTTCTCACATTACAGGTTATTTATAATGGACTCCTGACATTCACAATGACAGCAACATCAGGACCTACCTATAGTCCCTTCAGAGGACAAGAAGATTTCATTGCTGCGCTCTGGAATGACTTTGATGATTATTACACTGGCTTGATTTCATATCAGCAGTACACTAATGGAAGTGTGCTCGACCGTGCCACTCAGGATATAAACCAATACTTCTCTACAACAAACTTTAGTGCCTCCTGGGTCTTTGTTGCCACCTGGAGATACAATTTTCAGCCAAATCCGGTAAATACTGTTTATTATATTTTTTCCATATTACAGACTATACAGAGTGTGAATCATGATGTTGTTGTTTTTTTTCTTATCAGGCAATCCTGTTCCAAGCAGTTTTGATATCAGGTGGTGGTGAATCTTTCTTTCTGTTGAATTATGGAGACTGTGCTTCCTTAAATGAAATAACAGAGGTAAAGCAGCACAGGATGTAAAATACAGTCATATATTTTCTACATCAGCTCTGTGTGCATTCAAAACATTTTGTTTTATAGGCCGGATTCGACACAATAAACTCCATAAGCAACTTTGTAATTCCTGATTCAGTTAATGGCAACTACCAAAACCTCAAGAACACGACTAATGTAAACGTTCCCGGTCGCTGGGCCTTCAACGCAACCAGTGGATCAGGTACTGTAGGAGTTTGATCACATATACGAGTCAGTTGATGGTCAAGCGATGTTTGTGTGTTTTTTAGAAGAAAAATCTAATAATACAGACATCGTATAACACAAACAGACAAAAAATAAGCTTGAATTAGATTAGTAGTAAGTAAAATTTAAAGCAAGCAGCAAATGATATATCAGTGAAAGCTCAAAATTAGTGTCTACTTTCTTTTCTAAAGAGATAGTATATTTTTTCAATGTCCGATCCCACTTTTCTATTTTTAGAAGTATAGTTGACATTTGTCAAATGTGTTCATCTGTGTGTATCTAAAATTATTCATGTTCATGCTTTCAGGTAATAATTTAACGTGCCTCATTTTCATGCATTTTTATATAAAAGGATGGTCAAAAGAGACACAGTCAAACTACAATGTTGAATTTACAAAAAAGTAATCCAAGATGCAGGCATTAATCAGGGTAGGCAGCAAACCATGTATAAATAAAGAAAGTCACAAACACAGACAAAACCGAAGCATGGAATAAAGGAAATACTCACAAATGCAACTACAGCAAGCGACTGACTTCACAGTGAAGGAATTTGAGTGTGAGTCTTTAATAGTCAGTGTAATGAGCAACAGCTGGGATAAATGATTAGTCCAATTGATTATGGGAAATGTAGTCCGGGTGACTGGCAATGAAAATGGGGCTAGAGGACATTGTAGGCACTCCAGCTGGTGATCATAACAATAATAAAGTAATTTTTTGTCATATTTATTATTTTGATGTCTGGGCTTGTTTATTTGGTGAAAGTTATGGGAAATGAAAAACCTCATGCAGTTTAATGAATGATACAATTGTGGTTTTGCTTTTGTCCATTATTTCAGTATACAACACATCAAACACCACAGTTACACCAGGTAATAATGCACTGCGATATATGCAGTGTTTTGTGTACTGCACAGAAATGCTTGATCTGGTTTATTTTCTGTTTTTTTTTCCTGCCGGCTCCACGTGTTCTCCTTCTCCTTTTTTTCTTGTTAGCCTGTTGTTCATCTCGTTTATAATTCCCTATTTCTGCTGTTGTTGTTGTTCATTGGTTGTGTAAAGGCTGATTTATACTTCTGCGTCAAAAGCCGGCGTATGCTACGGCGTTGACGCATAGCCCTTCGCCGTGGCCGTCGGTGTCGCTGACGTGCACCTCTCAAAAATGTTACTACACGTCCCAACATCGCGTAGCGCAGGCTCTGTGATTGGTCGGCTTGGTAGCGCTGACGAGTCTGGGCAGGACCGAGAGCTGCGCGAATAGCGCGAGTGATTGTTTACAAGTGTGGAGTCCCGTGAAGGAGCTCCAGATGGAAAGTTTTTTTTTTGTGTTTACCTCATGGTTAAAGTTGTTGCACGTCTGCCGGTTCCTGCCTCAAAATGAGCGAGTTTGAGACACTTGTACATCCAGGAAGTGTTCAGGAAAAGCAAAACGGCAGCGAAGAAACTCGACACAGAGAAACATTTACACCTCACTGCCAACTAGCATTTCGGAAGTGTTAATGCAGACCAACAGAGACAGCGCGCAGAAGTATAAATGCACAGCTACGAGCGTTGTCTGCGCCGTGAGTTACGCCGGTCACTTGACGCAGAAGTATAAACCAGGCTTTAGCTGTTCATGCTTCTGAGTGTTTACCTTCATATGGAGCCACGTCCCTCTCATCTGCATTTCATGCACTAATATTTCTATAACAAACCTTTATTTATGCCTTGATAAAAAAAATGTCTAAGCTTTTTTTTCAAGTGAAAGTTTTAGTAAAGAAAATTGATCTAATTAAGGCAGTTTAATGAATCATTCATTACTGTTTACTTTTTTGTATATTTTTTAGCTACCACTACATCGACAACCCCTATTATTACCACCACAATTCCTCCAGGTAATAATGCAGTGAGTTACTGATGACACTTTATTTGTACTTCACAAAAGTATTTTATCTATTAATGTTTTTTTCTTTACCAGTTGTTGCGATGAGTTCTGCACAGCCGTGGACAGGTATTTAGCTTTCAAATGAGCACTGCATTAAATTCAGAATCAGCAATTATCACAGAATTCTGATGATTCTTTCTGACTCTGCATTTCTTGTGTTTTATTCTCTCTGCAGCTCCAGCAATATTCTATCCATTCGGCTCAACTGTAGGAGACACTGAACACAACGTTAATTACGATGAAAGCTCATATCCTGTTGCTCTTTCAACCCCATTTACATTCTTTGGCCACACATACAACAGCTTATATGTAAGAATTCAGTTCAATTCGAAGTCTGAATGCAAATGCAGTGATTAAGCCAGATTGTGATTATTGCTGGATGTAAATTGATTTCTCATATTACAGGTTATTTATAATGGACTCCTGACATTCACAATAACATCAACATCAGGCCCTAACTATAGTCCCTTCAGAGGACAAGAAGATTTCATTGCTGCGCTCTGGAATGACTTTGATGATTATTACACCGGCTTGATTTCATATCAGCAGTACACTAATGGAAGTGTGCTCGACCGCGCCACTCAGGATATAAACCAGCATTTCTCTCCAGTGAACTTCCAAGCTTCTTGGGTCTTTGTCGCCACCTGGAGGTACAATCTACAGCCAAATCCGGTAAAAGTTATTTATTTTATTTCTTCCATGTCACAGACATTACAGACAGTGAATCGTGATGTAATTTGTTTTCCTTTTCTTTTTAGCAAATCCTGTTCCAAGTAGTTTTAATTTCAGGCAGTGGAGGCTCCTTCTTTCTGATGAATTATGGTGACTGTGCTTCGTTATATGAAGTAACAGAGGTAAAACATCACAGGATTTAAAATTCAGTCATATATTTTCTACATCAGCTCTGTATTTATTCAACACATTTGGTTTTATAGGCTGGATTCGACACAATAAACTCAGTAAGCAACTTTGTAATTCCTGATTCAGTTAATGGCAACTACCGAAACCTCAAGAACACAACTAATGTAAATGTTCCCGGCCGCTGGGCCTTCAACGCAACCAGCGGATCAGGTACTGTAAGAGTCTAATCAAGTTCATGAGTGTGTGGTTGGCCAAGCTATGTTTGTGTGTCATTTAAGAAGTTGTCAAAAGAGTTTGAATGATATAGTCATTGTGTGGCACAAATTCTATTGATTGTTTACTGTCTGCAAACAAAAGCAGAATAGGTAGCAAATCATGAGGCAACCACTCTAGACAAGACAAGATTTAAGTGTTGAGGCCAGAGAGCACACTCCAGAGACACTCATGGAGAGAGGCAGAGTGAGGGAGAGAAAGAGTGAGAGAGAAAAAGTGAGCGAGGCAAAGAGAGGGAGAGAGAGAGCATGATACTACAAAATCTTCACAGAGACAGGTGCTCATTCATGGGGAAACACAAAGGCATGCACCATAACTATTAGACTGCTTTTTTTTAAAAAATGTAATAAACATCTAAACATGGACAAAAAATTAATCTTGAAGTAGATCGTTTTTTTTTTTTCAAGTTAGACTGTAACACAAGTAGGAAATCATAGACTAGTGGAAACTTGAAATGGCAGTTGGTTTCTTCTTTCTTTCTTACTGAGAGAGTATATGTATTTAAGGCTTTTATTTATACTTCTGCGTCAAACGCCAGTGTATGCTACGGCGTTGACGCATAGCCCTTCGTTGTGGCCGTCGGCGTCGCTGACGTGCACCTCTCAAAAAATGTAACTACACGTCGCAACGACTAGTTGCACAAGCTCTGAGACTGATCGGCTTGGTAGCGCTGTCGAGTATGGGCGGGACCGAGAGCCACGTGAATGGTGCGAGCCTGATGGATCGATTGTTTACAAGTGTGGAGTCCCGTGAAGGAGCTCCGGATGGAAAGTTTTGTTTTGTGTTTACCTCATAGTTAAAGTTGTTGCACGTCCGCCGGTTCCTGCCTCAAAAATAGCGAGTTTGAGCCACTTGTACATCCCGGAAGAGTTCAGGAAAAGCAAAACATCAGCGAAGAAACTCGACACAGAGGAACATTTACACCTCACTGCCAACTGGCGTTTCGGAAGTGTTAATGCAGACATACAGAGACAGCAAGCAGAAGTATAAATGCACAGCTACGCGCGTTGCATGCGCCGTGGGTTACGCCGGTCACTTGACACAGGAGTATAAACCAGGCTTTAATGTCCCATCCCAAATATCAGTTTTTACAATGTGTTTGTGCGTGGGTGTCTAATAATATTCATGTTCATGCATTCAGGTAATAATTTAGCATGTCCCATTTGCATGTCTAAGACATCCAATAGTCCATTTTGTTCAAAAACTTTAATATTGTAATGTAATGAATTAAGGGCGTGACCACAAAGCTGTCAAAAGACTCAAATGAATTGGAGTGTGAGTCTTATTATAGTCTTAAATAGTCTGTGTAATGAGCAACAGCTGATATAAATAATAAGTGCAATGGATTATGGGAAATGTAGTCTGGGTGACTAGCAATGGTAATGGGTCTAGAGGACATTGTAGGCACTCCAGCTGGTGATCATAACAATGATAAAGTAATTTTTATCATATTTATTATTTTGATGTCTGGACTTGTTTATTTGGTGAAAGTTATGGGAAGGGAAAAAATGCCACTTACTAAGTTTAATAAATGATTCATTTGTGTTTTTGCTTTTGTCCATTATTTCAGTATACAACACATCAAATACCACAGTTACACCAGGTAATGATGCAATAATTTAGCTAGTTTTCTATTTTATCTTGATCATGTCTAAGACTGTTGTTTCTGGTGAAAGTCATAGAAAAGAAAACTCCACTAATGACATAAGTTTAATGACTTGGTTATTGCTGTTTTCTTTTTTATTTATTCTTTCAGCAACCACCACACTGTCAACCACAGTTCCACCAGGTAATGATGCAGTTAGTTATAGACAACTCATGTGATAAATAATGTTTAAGCTTCATTTATTCTGGTGGAAGTTATAGTAAAGAAAACTGATCTAATGAAGTGAGTTTATTGAATGAAGTTGCTGTTTAAATTTTTTGTATATTTTTCAGAAACCACCACATTTACAACAGTTCCTCCAGGTAATAATGCAGTGAAATACTGACAACGCCTGAGCGTCATTTCTGTACTTTACAGAAGTATTTTATCAATTAATGTTTGTTTTTTTCTTCTGTACCAGTTGTTGCGATGACTTCTGCACAGCCGTGGACAGGTATTAACTGACTTCATTTCAGAATCAGCAATTATTACACAATTCTGATGATTCTTTCTGACTCTGCATTTCTTGTGTTTTATTCTCCTCAGCTCCAGCAATATTCTATCCATTCGGCTCGGCTGTAGGAGACACTGAGCAAACTGTTTATAATGATGAAAGCTTATACTCTGTTGGTCTTTCGACCCCATTTACGTTCTTTGGCCACACATACACCATGTTATACGTAAGAATTCAGTTCCATTGTCTGTCAAAGTCTGAATGCTGATGAAATTGATAAGCCAGATTGTGATTATCGCTGGATGTACATTGTTTTACAGCTTATGCATACCGGCCTCCTTACATTCACAATAACATCAGTGGCAACATCAGGACCGAATTATACTCCCATAAGAGGAAATGATGATTTCATTGCTGCGCTCTGGAGTGACATTGATGACTATTACAATATTGGTCTTTTCTCATATCAGCAGTACACTAATGGAAGTGTGCTCGACCGCGCCACTCAGGATATAAACCAATACTTCTCTACAACAAACTTCAGTGCTTCTTGGGTTTTTGTTGTCACTTGGAAGTATGGTTCTCAGCCAAACCCGGTAAAATACATATACATATATATATATTACGTTTTCCATGTCACAAACTATATAGACAGTGAATCATAATGTTGTTTCTTTTCTTTTCAGGCAATCCTGTTTCAAGCGGTTTTAATTTCAGGCAGTGGTGAATCTTTCTTTCTGTTGAACTATGGTGACTGTGCTGTCTTATATGAAGCAGTGGAGGTAAATCATCACAGAATTTAAAAATCTATCATATATTTTCCACATCTGCTCTGTATTTATTCAACACATTTTGTTTTTAGGCTGGATTCGACACAATAAACTCCATAAGCAAGTTTATAATTCCTGATTCAGTTAATGGCAACTACCGAAACCTCAAGAATACGACTAATGTAAATGTTTCTGGTCGCTGGGCCTTCAACGCAACCAGCGGATCAGGTACTGTAAGAGTCTGATCAAGTATATGACTCAGTTGATGGCCAAGCAATGTTTGTGTGTTTTGTAGAAGTTGTCAAAGATTCAATTGATACAGACATCGTATGACACAATCAGACAAAAAATAAGCTTGAGGTAGATTTATATATTTTTTTATTAGAAACCAAATAGCAAACCATAGATTAGTAGAAGCTCAAAAAGGTTATTGGTTTCTTTTTTTCTTTTTTAAAAAGACGGTATATTTTTTCAATGTCCGATCCCACCTTTCTGTTTTTAAGAGTATAGTTGATATTTGTCAAATGTGTTCATGTGTGTGTATCTAATAATGGTCATGTTCATGCTTTCAGGTGATAATTTAACATGCCTCATTTTCATGCCTAAGATCTCCAATAGTACATCCTGTCCAAAAACTTTAATAATGTAATGTAATGATTTAGGAGCGTGGCAATGAAGTTGAGGATCCACCTGCAGTTTTTTATGTCTTTTTATAAAAGGATGGTCAAAAGAGGCAGGATCAAACTACAATGTCAAATTTACAAAAAAAAAGTACTCCAATAAAAGTAATCCAAGATGCAGGCAATAATCAGGGTAGGCAGCAAATCATCAATAAATATAGAAAGTCACAAACACAGACAAGGCCGAAGCAGGGAATAAAGGAAATGCTAACAAATGCAACTACAGCAAGCGATTGACTCAACCCAAGCTCATTCTGGAAACGTAGCCCTTCGGACGATTCTGGAGACTGCGATTTACGTGGCCGGAGGTACGTACAGCTGCAATTAGTTTTTTTCGAGCGAACGCTGCGGGGCGGTGTGGCGCCACTCCGCTCCTCCTGTTCGCGCTCGCTGGCTCGCCTCCAAGTGGTGGGCTTTCCCGATGCAACCAGTTTGTCCACTTAGCTCACAGCGTTACGTCGGGGGAGCGGAGGCCCCGGAAAAGGAGGAGGAGCCGGCCGCAGGGACGATGAGCTGGATCGAGTCCGGGGAACAGCGGTTCCAGAAATCAGGTAAGATGAAAAACAGAATCTGAAAAATAAGGGCGAGAACGCGGCGGGATCCGAAAATGCAGTCAAAATCGAAGACGAGGGGTTTTGCTTTTTTTTTTTCTGGACGGCATTTGCAAACCGTCGCTTGGGTTTAGGGAAGAAGGAAGAAGAAGAGGAAGGCGGCCGGGTCGGCCGATCCGGCGGCTTTTCGCGCGAGAACAGCGCGGGTGCGAACGGTGCGCGCTCCCGAGAGGCGCCTGAGACGTGAAAAAGCGCGCACAGCGGCCTCTCGCTGATCCGCGAAAACCAAAAACGCTCGAATACCTACCTCCCGGGACGTATCTCGCGGTCCGCAGAAACGTCCGCAGGACTACGTTTCCACAATGAGCCCGGTTTGGATTGACTTCACAGTGAAGGAATTTGAGTGTGAGTCTTTAATAGTCTGTGTAATGAGCAACAGCTGGGATTAATTATTAGTCCAATGGATTATGGGAAGTGTAGTCTGAATGACTGGCAATGGTAATGGGTCTAGAGGACATTGTGGGCACTCCAGCTGGTGATCATAACAATGATGAAGATTTTTGTCATATTATTTTGATGTCTGGCTTGTTTATGTGTGGAGAAAGTTCTGGGAAAGGGATGAAACATGCCACTTATGAAGTAAGTTTTATTTAATGATTCATTTGTGTTTGTGCTTTTGTCCATTATTTCAGTTTACAGCACACCAAATACTCCAGTTACACCAGGTAATGATGCACTGAGGTATATGCAGTGTTTTGTGTACTTCACAGAAATGCTCGATCTGGTTTATTTTCTGGTTTTCTGTCTTTCCGGCTCCACATTTGTTCTCCTGCATCTTGTTAGCCTGTTTTCCCTGAATATAAGTCTCTATGTTTCCGCTGTTGTCGTAGGTCATTGATTGTGTTAGCTTTTAATGTTTCTGAGTGTTTAAAGCACTACCACGGTTACAAAAAAGTTTGCGCTGTTGTAATTCACTTACCTTTTAATACGTTTTGGTGTGATTATTACCCGCTATAAAAAAACACGACTGAATGTTTTGAATGAGAAGCTGTAATGTAGCCGTGGCAGGATTCATTTTGCCGGGGCGACCCGCCATGGAAGAATGAATGTAGTGGAAACCATGCTATAACAAACCTTTTTTCCCCACCTTGATACATTCATGTCTAAGCTTCATTTAATCTGGTGAATGTTATAGAAAACTTCTCTAATTAAGTGAGTTTAATGAATAATTATTTGCTGTTAAAATTTTTGCATATTTTTCAGCTACCACCACATTTACAACCACAACGGTTGCTCCAGGTAATAATGCAGTGTGTTTTTGATGACACTTTATTTGTACTTCACAGAAGTATTTTATCTATAAATGCTTTTTTTCTTTACCAGTTGTTGCGATGAGTTCTGCACAGCCGTGGACAGGTATTTACTGACTTTCAAATGAGCACTGCATTAAATTCAGAATCAGCAATTATTACACAATTCTGATGATTCTTTCTGACTCTGCATTTCTTGTGTTTTATTCTCCTCAGCTCCAGCAATATTCTATCCGTTCGGCTCGGCTGTAGGAGACACTGAGCAAACTGTTTATAATGATGAAAGCTTATATTCTGTTGGTCTTTCGACCCCATTTACGTTCTTTGGCCACACATACACCATGTTATACGTAAGAATTCAGTTCCATTGTCTGTCAAAGTCTAAATGCTGATGAAATTGATAAGCCAGATTGTGATTATCGTTGGATGTACATTGTTTTACAGCTTATGCATACCGGCCTCCTTACATTCACAATAACATCAGTGGCAACATCAGGACCGAACTATACTCCCATAAGAGGAAATGATGATTTCATTGCTGCGCTCTGGAGTGACATTGATGACTATTACAATATTGGTCATTTCTCATATCAGCAGTACACTAATGGAAGTGTGCTCGACCGCGCCACTCAGGATATAAACCAATACTTTTCTACAACAAACTTTAGTGCTAATTGGGTCTTTGTTGTCACTTGGAAGTATGGTTCTCAGCCAAACCCGGTAAAATATTTGTATTTTAAAGTTTACATGTCACAAACTATATAGACAGTGAATCATAACGTTGTTTCTTTTCTTTTCAGGCAATCCTGTTTCAAGCGGTTTTAATTTCAGGCAGTGGTGAATCTTTCTTTCTGTTGAACTATGGTGACTGTGCTGTCTTATATGAAGCAGTGGAGGTAAATCATCACAGGATTTAAAAATCTATCAAAATTTCCACATCAGCTCTGTATTTATTCAACACATTTTGTTTTTAGGCTGGATTCGACACAATAAACTCCATAAGCAAGTTTATAATTCCTGATTCAGTTAATGGCAACTACCGAAACCTCAAGAACACGACTAATGTAAACATTCCCGGTCGCTGGGCCTTCAACGCAACCAGCGGATCAGGTACTGTAAGAGTCTGATCAAGTATATGACTCAGTTGATGGTCAAACTACTGTATGTTTGTGTGTTTTTTAGAAGTTGTCAAAAATTCAATTGATACAGACATCGTATGACATAAACATACAAAAAAAGGTTGAAGTAAATAGATTTTTTAAAATTAGAAACCAAATAGCAAATCATAGATTAGTGGAAGCTTGAAAAGATAATAGGTTTTTTTTTTCTTTTCTAAAGAGATGGTATATTTTTTCAATGTCCGATCCCACCTTTCTTTTTTTAGGAGTATATTTGACATTAAGAAATATGTTCATGTGTGTGTCTAATATTATTCATGTTCATGCTTTCAGATAGTAATTTAACATGCCTCATTTTTATGCCTTCTGCTGCGTTCACACCAGACGCGAAATACGCGGATAAATCCCGCTATTCGCGCGTAAATTGCTGCGTGAACATTTTAGTTTACTTACTTCATTCGAGCATCAAATCAGCTTCATCCACGAGTCAAATACACTTCAGAACAGATGTGGATTTGCGCTATGGGCAGGGCTTCTTTCTGCCCGGTAACTTGTTGTCGGTGTAGGCTGGAAGATTTCCCCCGGGACACAATTAACAAGTTCTACATTAGAATCACGCCCCTACAAGAGCAAGTTTCTCATTGGTTAATGTGGCGCGAAAGTCTGCTGAAGTTCAGATTTTCGAACTCGAGAGATTTGCGCAAAACGCTCAATTCGCGCCGCACCATTCGGCTGCGTCAGAAACCGCATACTTCCATACTATATAGGACGCTAAAATCAGTATGTGAGCCGAGTAGTATGTCCGAATTCATAGAATTCAAAAATCAGTATGCGAGAAGTACCCGGATGACTTACTACTTCCAGCGAGATTCTGGAGTGCGCATCGCATGCATGCTGCGCTATCCCATGATGCCCCGCGAGCGAATTCAAGAATGGGAGTAAAGCAACGCAATTGACGCAGGTAGGTCACGTGACAATGACAAAACGGCGGATGTAGTACGTCCGAATTCCATTCATACTTTACACTTTCATACTGTATAGAACGTTTTTTTCTAACGGCCGAGTAGTACGTTTAAATTCAAATGCAGTACCTACTGAGTAGTAGGCGGTTTAGGACGCAGCCTTAGTCTTAAATAGTCAGTGTAATGAGCAACAGCTGGGATAAATGATTAGTCCAAGGGCTGATGGGAAATGTTGTCCGGGTGACTGGCAATGGTAATGGGTCTAGAGGACATTGTGGGCACTCCAGCTGGTGATCATAACAATGATGAAGAAATTTTTGTCATATTTATTATTTTGATGTCTGGGCTTGTTTATTTATGGAGATGTTATGGGAAAGGAAAATGAGCTCATGAAGTGAGTTTGATAAATGATTCATTAGTGTTTTTGCTTTTGTCCATTATTTCAGTTTACAGCGCACCAAACACCACAGTTACACCAGGTAATAATGCACTGAGATATATGCAGTGTTTTGTGTACTGCACATAAATGCTTGATCTGGTTTATTTTCTGGTTTTCTGTCCTGCCGGCTCCACATTTGTTCTCCTCTATCTTGTTTTTTGTTAGCCTGTTGTTCTCCCTATATATCCCTATAAGTCCATATGTTTCTGTGTTTGTTTGTTGTTCATTGGTTGTGTTAGCTCTTCATGTTTCTGAGTGTTTGCCTTCATATGGAGCGGCACCTTTTATCTTTACCTTATGCTCTAATATTACTATAACAAACCTTTTTTCACCTTGATAACAATTGTCTAAGCTTTTTTTTTCTGGTGAAAATTATATTAAAGAAAACTGCTCTAATTAAGGGAGTTTTATGAATTATTCATTGCTGTTTATATTTTTGTATATTTTTCAGCTACCACTACATCGACAACAACTACTATTACCACAACAGTTGCTCCAGGTAATGCAGTGAGTTACTGATGACACTTTATTTGTACTTCACAGAATATTTTATATACTAATGTTTTTTTTCTTTACCAGTTGTTGCGATGAGTTCTGCACAGCCATGGACAGGTATTTACTGACTTCCAAATGAGCACTGCATTAAATTAAGAATCAGCAACTATTACACAATTCTGGGGACTGTTTCTGACTCCGCTTTTCTTGTGTTTCATTCTCTCTGCAGCTCCAGCAGTATTCTATCCATTCGGCTCGGCTGTAGGAGACACTGAATATTCTGAAACTGGTTCTGAAAGCCAAGTTTCAGTTGCTCTTTCCACCCCATTTACATTCTTTGGCCACACATACAACAGCTTATACGTAAGAAATCAGTTCCATTGCAAGTCGAAGTCTGAATGCAAATGCAGTGATTAAGCCAGATTGTGATTATTGCTGGATGTAAATTGATTTCTCATATTACAGGTTATTTATAATGGACTCCTGACATTCACAATAACATCAACATCAGGCCCTTACTATAGTCCCTTCAGAGGACGAGAAGATTTCATTGCTGCGCTCTGGAATGACTTTGATGATTATTTAACTGGTGTGATTTCATATCAGCAGTACACTAATGGAAGTGTGCTCAACCGCGCCACTCAGGATATAAACCAGCATTTCTCTCCAGTGAACTTCCAAGCTTCTTGGGTCTTTGTTGCCACCTGGAGGTACAATCTACAGCCAAATCCGGTAAAAGTTATTTATTTTATTTCTTCCATGTCACAGACATTACAGACAGTGAATCATGATTTAATTTGTTTTCCTTTTCTTTTTAGCAAATCTTGTTCCAAGTAGTTTTAATTTCAGGCAGTGGTGGCTCCTTCTTTCTGATGAATTATGGTGACTGTGCTTCGTTATATGAAGTAACAGAGGTAAAACATCACAAGATTTAAAATTCAGTCATATATTTTCTACATCAGCTCTGTATTTATTCAACACATTTGGTTTTATAGGCTGGATTCGACACAATAAATTCAATAAGCAAGTTTGTAATTCCTGATTCAATTAATGGCAACTACCGAAACCTCAAGAGCACGACTAATGTAAATGTTCCCGGTCGCTGGGCCTTCAACGCATGGGCAGGTATATTATTGGCTTTTGGATTTGTTGTGTTCACATCAGAATCAGAAAGATTTAGACATCTTTGTGTTATTTTGGCAGCTCCAGCGATATTCTATCCATTCGGCTCAACTGTAGGAGACACTGAGCACCACGTTAATTACGATGAAAACTCATATCCTGTTGCTCTTTCAACCCCATTTACATTCTTTGGCCACACATACAACAGCTTATACGTAAGAATTCAGTTTAATTCTCTGTCAAAGTCTGAATGCAAATGCAGTGATAAGCCAGATTGTGATTATTGCTGAATGTAAATTGATTTCTCATATTTCAGGCTATTTATACTGGAGTTCTTTCATTCACAATATCCCCAACATTAAATGTTGACATCAATCCTTTCGGAGGAAATGATGATTTCATTGCTCCGCTCTGGAATGACTATGATGATTATTACACTGGAGTATTCTCATATCAACAGTACACTAATGGAAGTGTGCTCGACCGCGCCACTCAGGAAGTAAACCAATATTTCTCTCCAACAAACTTCAATGCTTCCTGGGTCTTTGTTGCCACTTGGAGGTACAATCTACTGCCAAATCCGGTAAAAAGTCATTTATTTGTTTGTTTACTTACTTATTAAGGTCACACATTCTGTAATCTTTGAATTATGGTGACATGTTGTTTCTTTTCAGACAATCCTGTTCCAAGTGGTTTTAATTTCAGGCGGTGATTGGTCCTTCTTTCTAATGAATTATGGAGACTGTGCTGTCTTATATGAACCAACAGAGGTAAAACAAACATACAGATTTCATTCTGTACTCCACATTAACTCTGTATGTTTCACAACATTTGGTTTTCATGTTTTAATAGGCTGGATACAGCACAATGAACTCAGTAAGCAACTTTGTGATCCCTGATTCAACAAATGGCAACTACCGAAGCCTCAAGAACACGACGAATGTAAACGTTCCCGGTCGCTGGGCCTTCATCTCAAACAAAGGATTAGGTAGATGTTTATTCAGTTTTACATGCTGGTTTGTTTGCTGTACAAATGTTAAAATGTGTAATTATGTTTATGTTTCTCTTTAGAAAATATCATTGGAACCCAATTTAAGCTCACGTCGTATTTAGACCTGACACAGAGTGATAACCTGGAGGCTGTTCTGCAGCAAGTAAGTCAATTGGCAATTTTATTTTTAATAGACATTGATAACAAGTGGAGTTTGATGCAAATAAAGTCCATTTTAATCTGTCTGTCCATCTGTGCTTCAGATAAAACAAGAACTGGTCAGTCGTGGGCTGTCAGGTAACTTCGAGATAAAGAAAAGACGTGTCAAAAAGGTGCAGCCGTGATCAGAAAAAACCTCAGAAAGTCGATGCTTCACATGAAGAAAAACCTCCCAATTTAATCACCCCTCAGCTTGCTAAACATACTTATATAACATATTCACACACAATTATGTACACAAAAACATTTATTATAATCAAACTAATATAGTATTCATTTATCCTAATTAATTAATCAATGATTTTCCAATGCAATCTCAAGGCAATGTGTAACTTTTTGATTTAGTGGCTAATTCGCATTAAATCAGATTATTTCATTCATATATTTTACTTTGATTAGCTCATACTCCAATAAGGGGTAGATTTAGGGGTAGGGAGCCTACTTTAAAAATGGTATGTTTTCATATGAATGAAATAACATGAATTAGCCAATTCTCTGACAATACATAATATAGTTATGTTTCTTCATGAAATTGGACTGTTTTTATAGCTCTTTTCTCATCATGCTTGTGTTTTATGAAATGTTAGATGTGCATCTTACTTTAAAACTTAAATGACAGAAGAAATACAATATGACGTAACTAAATAAACAACAGGTTTATAGGTTTATATAAACATTGCTGGTTAACATCTTTGTCATAAAACCTTGATCATCTCTTTTAGGACATTACTAATGAAATAGAGATAACTTTAAGTATAACTTTTGAGATAACTTTAAATAAACAAACATTGACGTCTATTCAATGCACACAAGGAAGAACAAAATTTTTGATTGATTTAGATTGACAAGAAGTTATGCTTTTGAATTGGAAAAAGGATCAATATTGTTTTATATTGTACATATTTGCACGCAGATACACAAGCAGATGTCTTAATCTTGTTGTTTTTATTTAAAATTGTTGCTTAACTATTACTGTACTTTTGTCTATTGAAATTATATTTTGAATGTTTAATCTTTTTTTTTTTTACTCAGTATCTATTTCTGTTCATGTTTTTACACATACACTGTAAAAAATCTGACCTTAAATTCACAGTAAATTACTGGCTAATATTTGCATTACTTTTCACAGTAAAATACTGTATGTAAAATCACAGCAAATTAAAGTGAGGTAGTTCACAGTAATTTACTGTGATTTAGTTACATTAAATTACTGTGAAAATACACCCATATAGTGTAACTTCACAGTAGATAGTAAAGTCCATTACTGTGATTTCACAGAATTAACTATATTTTACTTGAAGCAGGCTTTCCTTGGTTATTCATTCTGGCATTTACCCTGACTTTGAAATCATTTTAGGTGTTTCACAGTGTTTGGTTTTATGAATCAATTACTTTTGTTTAAGTTTATTGCGCTTTTGGCTGAGCACAAAGTTATGTTCATTAAAAATGATTTCATATTTCCATATTAACCTTATAAAATTTAAAGGTGCAGTGCACCCAAAAATGAAAATTTACTATGACATTCATATTGTTTCAAAACAGGATCATTTTCTTTCAAGTTATTTTTGAAGACGTAAGCTAATTTTGGGGGGGGGGGGGGGGGGGGGGGCTGCAATAACATTCTGCTATTTCTAATTAATGGCTATGTTGAATGAAATAAAAAAAAAATTCCAATAACTTACATGCAAAAGATATAGCCCATTTTACAGTAATTTGCTTTAATCATGATGCCTGCCCTAATTTCACAATAAAATTATGAATACAAGACATTACTGTGAGTGATACTAATGTAATTAACTGTGAAAAATTACAGTAACATGTTGTGAAAATCTGGACATTTTTTACACATATATCTTATTGCACTTTATGGAAACTTTAAGATGTGAATAAAATATCAAAATGCACATAAAAATGTATATTTGCTTAAGTGATTTGAATAATATTTTATCCAATAAGAATTATATTGAACTTTGATGGAAACACATTTACTAAATAAATACCACAGGACAAAGATAAATGATGTTGTGTTTTGTTTATTTGTTCTAATAGTTAGACTTTATTTATTTATTTATTTATTTATTTTTCCCAGTGCTGTTTCCGCTGTTGGCTTAGTGAATGTATTTTCTAGATAATAGTTTTCACGTTATAAATGTCACTGCATGCCACTATGTTTTTCTTCTGAAAGGTTTTCGGTTGGTGTCCATCCAAGATTTCTTTTTTATGTTAGTACTCGTTTCCCTGTAAAACTAAGAAAAGAAAATCACCTTTAATTTCATTTCATGCATTTGAACAGCAGGTGGCCCAAAAGTATGTCAGAAGAGAGGCATAATGTTTTTCAGCTGTTCATGCCTGGATTACTGTTGAATTTTAGTATTTGTCTCCTGGAATTACAGTATAAATACTCTCATTTTAGATCCACATTTGTGTTTCCACAACATTAATAAAAAATCATTGCATGCGTGTTGTTTATTTTACAGGAGTGTTTTTTTTTTTATTATCATTTAAACAGTTTTTCCTTTCACAGAAACTACAACAACTGCAAAGATAGGTACTGACATACCTTTGGATTAAAACCTACTGTTTTTAAGAAGTGCCAAGAATAAATCCAAGAAACTTGTGAGTATTTTTGTCAGCAAATAATACCCCACCTCATAAAGTGAATTATTGAGGTACTTAGTAATTTTTGTGTATGTTCATTCTTTTAGGATCCATGACAGAAGCTGCAACACAAGTCACCGCAGTTCAACCAGGTGATTAGTCATGCGTTCATCTATATATACAGTATGTTTGTGTAGGAGTGGAGACAAAATAAGCATAAAATGATATGTACAATTAAAATGAGTCTTGCTCTTCTGAGAAAACGGAGCAGAAATATTTTGAGACTACTCATGAAAGTCTACTACAATTAGTTGTCCAATTATAATCCTTCTCATATACAAGTCACTTTCTGCACAAAAGTGCCTGACTCTATTAGAAAATGATATATCAGTGAATTTCCCTCCATCAAACCTCCCATTTTAGGAATAAAAGTGTAAAAAGGAAAACTATTAATTTTATGAGGTATTTAATAATCTGTATTTTTCATTCTTTCCAGATCCCCACACTGAAAACCTCAACAGGTAATGAATCTGTGTAATAAAACACTCTTCATTTATTTTTTTCTTAAACGGTTTGTTGTCATGTAGAGGTCTATTCTTTAATAGAACCTTCCAGATTCACACTTTAGTTTCTATTCACTACAATCACTGTAGAAAACTTTACATTTGAATTAATTGAAACAATTTGACTTTATAAATTTTTAATTCTAAAATGAATAAATAATAAACTAGGATCACCCTACTGAAAAAACACAGCTTAAACCAACCTTTTAGCTGGTCGACCAGCCTGGTTTTAGAGGGGTTTGGGCCATTTCCAGGCTGGTCTTAGCTGGTCAGGCTGGAAAATTACCATCTAAAACCATCTTGATAAGCCTAGTTTAAGCTGGAACTAGCTGGTTTTGCCTGACTAGGCTGGTCAAGCTGGTTTTAGCTGGTCATCTTCCAGCCTGATTAGCTAAAACCAGCCTGAAAATTGCCAAGACTCTTCTAAAACCAAACTGGTCCACCAGCTAAAACCAGCCAACCAGGAGTGCGTTTCCAAAAACCATCGTTAACCAACTAAAGTCGCAGGATCCGTCCTTACAAACATAGTTTGTTGATTTGGCGTTTCCCAAATCCGTTGTTCCAACGAACATTTGCAATCTTGCACGCTTGCAAATACACTTCTAGAGCTGTAAAGTTAGAAGCATAGAAGCATGGTTCCTGGTTGTTTTCTATTCCCCAGTATAACCCATTTGCCCTATTCATTTAGAACATTCCAACATTTAAACTTGGAATGATTTAAAAAAGCATTAAGGTCATCTTTTTTGGTGTAATTTGCTTTCGAAGTATTTTTTACAGTTCAGTTTTAGCGATCTTCAAATTGACAATTGTGCACTTTTTAAACATTTATGCCATTTTAAAGGCAGCTGTGACTCATGACGAAAGCTATAGGTGACTTATTATTTAAAAGCAGAATTTACATCACGTCTCCAACGCTTGTTAAAACGAAAATATAAAGCATACGTTAATGCTTTTGATTAGGTTATTGTACCTGTTTAAAGTAAGAAATGTATCTGTATATGACATAGGTCTGTTGATTAGAACATTTCTGCATGGCTTGAATGTGTCAAAATGTAAAATTAGTAATAACAAAAAATAAATGAAAAAAAAAAATAATAATAATTAATAATATTATTATTATTATTAAGTAGGGTTTTTTTTTATTTTGTTAGTAAATGGCCTACTGTAAATTACAATCATTAGCCTAGTGATTTATGTGATTAATATATGAGATTATAATAAGTGTTAGCTAAGTGGTATATGTTTTAGAAGAGATTATAAAAAATTCTCAATAATATTTGTAAAAGAGACACAGGCCCTGTATGCACCATTTACATATATTTCAATTAATATGGAAAAAGAGTGCATGTTTTTATCTAAACTAATATTGATTTTTTTTTGTCTGTGTGCATGTAAAACTATATAATTTACACATAAAAGTATGTTTTTTTTTTCTCTATAGAAGTAGTTACTCCACCCCATTAGAGCCTCATTATAGCCATTTTATGCTATAACTAACATGGTTCAAATGATGGATCTGCGACAAAGCCAGGGTTTAACGCTAAGGATTTTTTCTACTGATCCGAACGGGACATGGTTCAGATTTTTACTTGCCCTGTCAAAATTTTCACTGACCCCAACAAAAAAAAAGTGAAGTTAACAGCTATTTTTTTGCCGCATATTTTTAATAATAATAACAAAATGTTAATGAAAGTGTTATGCAAACAAAAAGAGCAGAGGAAAATGTGGAGGTATTTTATTGCGGTTCGAAATTATTTAACAAAAGGTGGCTGACTTGTCAAACTGACAGCAAACTGTAAAACATCACTTCGTTTTTTTTATTACGTTGTTCACACCTAAATGTCTGCTTCCAAGATGTTAGAAACAGACGTTTTCTTTTAGCCTTATAATTTGATGTTGCCGCCATGTTGCCATCTCTTCGCTGTACTGGTTGTTACTAGGTTACAGAAAAAATAGCATGCTCAAAACATCAAATCAGATAAGAGGAATTGAAAAGCAATATAGCGTGTACGGCATTACAGAGAAGGTAGTGTTTAAAGACTTAAAAGCACAACTTAAAATGCACGCAATTGACAAATAGTAGCAGACAAATTAAATGTAAGTAACAAGGCAGCACTGTCCCAATCGGTCCAGTAATGATCCTGTCTACTGTCCCAAGCGTCTCTCACGCTGGCCCTGGGCCACCGGGCAGTCCTTATTGTTGAGCCCTGAAAGCATCTATGTTTTGGGGAAACACTCGTCACTACATCGTTCTTTTCCCAATAGATGCATTGTATTATGATAGTTGAGCCACACAGTTATGTTGTTGTTTGGGAAAAGCAGCCCAGCCTAGGCTGGTTTAAGCAGGGCTGTACAGTTTAAATTGTGTTGTACAGTTTAAACAGTGTGAAATAGAAAGAAAGAATGATTTAGGGTGTTTGACGAGGTGCACGCGACGTGTCTGAAGAGCGAGGAGGGATGCGGTGGGGAGGGGTGAGAAGGGTGCGCGATGTATTTGAGGATCGGGAGGGAGACATGTGATTTCCCAGCCTGATCTCACGAGAAAACGTAAGTATTTTACGTTTTGCCAGTTTAGTGGCTAATTCGTACAAATTCGTACGAGTTCAGTCGTACGAAATGGTACGATTTTAAAAAGGAGGCATGGCACCTGAGCCCACCCCTAACCCCAACCGTCATTGGGGGATAAGCAAACCGTACTAAATTGTACGAATTAGATCGTACGAATTCATACGAATTAGCCACTAAATAAAAAAGTTACAAATTGCCATGAGATTGTGTTGGATTTCCAGAAAATTATCACTCGTTTGTGGGTATCCGGGAGTATCTGTGCATTTGCAGGAGACTCCCGAAACTTCCAGGAGACTTGGAATGTCTGGAATGACATCCGTATGCCTATTACATATCCATAATACACGGTGATATAGCCAGGCTTGGATTGTATTGCTTTCTCACTACAATCAATCCGCTCCAGAGTTTGTTTCA